AGTCCAGCACCCAGCCTCACTCTAACCGAAACATTTTCTTTTTATAAAGATTATTGTACCATTATTTGCTTGGCACACAATCTGTCCTCAGATAAGTATGAAATATAATAACTGGGGAAGTAATAGAGCAGGACGCATCACAAATGAAGTGTCTGCTCACATAAAGAAGACTCGGTTGGCATTTGCCAACTTGAGACATCAGTGGCGTCGTCGTGACATCCGGCTGTCTATGAAGGGTCGAGTGCATGTCGCGACAGTTCGGCCAGTCCTGCTATACGGTGCAGAAACTTGGCCATTGAGAAAACAGGATGAAGATAGATTGGATGAGCAATGCTGAGGTTAGGGGCAGTTTTAGGTAAATGCGGTCGCCCACTAGAGCAAGTGGTCGACCTCCATAAATTACGGTGAATGGGTCATGTGTTACGCATGTCACCAGATAGGTTACCACGGCGAGCGATGTTCACCGGAGCAGATACCGAGTGGAAGAAAGCCAAGGGTGGTCAAGCTAAGATCTGGCACGATGGTATGAAAACCCTAACCAGGAGACTGGGTGACAGAGGTCCTGTTAGGCTCCCTGGCTGAGGACCTCGGGATGATAGTAATCGATGATTAGAGACACTGTGTGATATGGCTGGGTGTCGCAAACAATGGCGTCCTTTCATCTTCTCAATTTCTTTGCAACCTTAGACCACTGAACTTCTCCATTTTCTGTTCGACTCCACTTTCAGCTTTCCTTTCTTCTATTCTTCATCCAGACGGGCAGCCGAAAGACCGCAACTAAATCCGCCGCACGAATATGCATAATGAATGGTTGTGCAAACTGAAAACTGAACCCATCGCTCAAGGCGGCGTTGCTGAATGTAAACTAGTGTCGTCAGTTTCCTGATTTGCCTTCTAGCATGCATAATCTAGCGGGGCCTAATGTGGTTCGCCACTCTATGGAAGGTGATGTCGTTTCTTGTGTTTTTTATTACATACATATTAGTGTGATGGACAGGATGGATGAACCCCATAGTCACGAGGATCTGCCGT